AGCTCTTTTCAGCAGGCGAGGAAGGGAGAAAAAAGAGACACTGTAAGTACAGAAAGACCCCAAAGAGGAAGTTATCTGCAGGGAAGGTGATAAAGCAATAGTTTAGAGCACACAGAGTTCTGACTAGCAAGGGAATACCTCCTACCATCCTCTTTCAGGCCCTGGGCTCCACAGCAAAAACAACAGAGACCGCTGCGAGCAGAGGCCTACAAAAAGTCTAGCTGAAAAGGGGCTTCTGTCCTAAGTAAAAATACCCTGGGTATTTTTAAGGTAGAGACTGAGGCACATCACAGCACTCTGTTCCCGTTCTGTTGTTTAACATTTGAGCGAGAAGCTCTAGGTATCTCGCACCCAGGGTTTGGCTGGCGAAGGATCCCTCCAGATAGTCAATATTAATTTCAATCGCTCAGCAATGATCATCATGATAAAGCTGATGCTTAACTAGCTTTTTTAGCAGAAAGAAAGATCCAATAATTGTAGTTCCATCGCCCAAAACAGCTGACATCTCCGGATGCATCTCTTTCTAGCCTATTTCAATAGATACCTTGTTTTTAACCTCGTGATTTGTGATCCAGGTTCTAGACACCGACAAGTGAAAACTGTTAACAGGTCACTGATACAGAGGAACAGTTTAGCACTGACTCATTAAGATGATGAGCTGACCAGAGGTGACGAGTATCGCAGAGCAAAACTTTCTCAGCTCTCCAGGTTTGTACACGCCGATCTAGAAATAAAGACGATGGCTGGAAGTCAGCATTAGCCACGAAAGAGAACTCAGGATTACAGGCAAAGGGTAACTCACCGGTGAATTTACTAAGATCCGCAACAGACTTTTTTCGCTAGCAATCCTTCAATAACAGCACGTATTTTCCTAGATGACCCGATCTCCTCAAAAATTGATCATGGGTATCAGGGATTAAGTTAGATCACCCCAATAACGTTACTTCTAGCCTTAAAAAGGTTTCCTGTGCTGCCTGCTGCTTAGGAAGCAAAAGGACAAAACCAGACTCGCCAGCAGAGCCTGACAAACCCGCCAGGCTCCCAACACCTTCACCACGGCTATACGGCCCCCTCAAGAA